CTATGAGGCTAGGAGGGTCCCCGCCAACCACTTCAATGCTCACCAAGTGAAGAAAAAAAACCTGTGACCTTTCACTCTACAGTAGAAACTGCTATTTGGTCTCTGCTGGGAAGCAAGTAGAGTTAGGCTCGCAAGCCCACAGTGGCCCCAACAGGCCACCACCTGCCTTGACAGAGGAAGGCCTGAGGCTGCTGGCAGTCACCTCTGGGTCCCCTGCACTAGTAAGGGTGCAGCTGGATTCTGCCAAGGCCACAGGGCAGGTGGACGGTGGCAAATGCCATCCATGGTAGCTCTTGTTCCAGAGCCAACAAACATTGATGCCCTTCCCCTTGCAGTGAGGTTTGCTTCAAATCCCACCATCACCACCACCAACAGCCAGAACCTTGTGTTCTTGCCCTAAAGATATCTGCAATTGACCCAAAAACAAGGCCTTCAAGGAGACAAGCAGGTGGCAACAGAGGACCCAAGCCGGGGGCTCTTGCTGGGGTGGGCTAGGCTGCGCTGGGCTATACTCCCTTGCAGCAGCAACAGGAAGGCGCTTCAGGACCCAGGAAGCCCCAGTCAGGACAAAGAGCTGCCTCTCCTCCCAACCTTAGAGGCCAGCAGCCCTGAGAGTGGCTGAGTCTGGTTTTTGAAGAAGAAATATTAGGCTATTTAAACCCACTCTTCTCTCACCCCTCAGAAAGGTCACTGAACTCGTCTTTTACCCGATCATCCGAAGTTGAAGACGGAACCTGCTTCTCACCCAATTGCCCTGAGAAACAAAGAACAGACTCCTGTTACCAAAAAGAGCACACAAGTGCCTCACCACCACAGCAGGCCTAATCTGGTAACACAGCTTGCCTTACGGGGTTCCTGGGGTCAGTCCTTGGCCTCAAACTCCACATCATCCTGGCCCAACCCCCACACAAGCTCCTGCACAGAATGCAACTGCCATGCCAGCGTTGTGTTGAGAGACAAGTAGCACCACACAGCAGGAACCCTGGGACAATCATCATCAGCAAACCTGAGCCCTCCAGACCCAAGTATTCATTCTGAGGAGCTAATGTGAATGTTTGTGAATGTTTTGAAACATTTTTAAGGAGACTGTTATCAAAACATCTCATGCACACAGTTGACAAAGCTAAGTAAGTAATCTGCAGGACTCTATCCCTCGAGGTCCTCCCGAAGCTGGGGAATCTCATCTATGCACCTCTGTTTAGCTGAACCCCTGGACAGCTACATATGCGCAGGCCCCACTGTGAGCCTGCACATAGCAGCCAGATGATCATCTGCAAGGACAGGGCCAGATGCACACAGAAGGCCAGAGAACGCCATGCCTGGATCTCAAACATGATGTCCATGAGCAGCTGTACCCACCCCACAATATGCAGGTGGGATCCACCCTTGTCTCCCCTCCTCAGCCAGACAAGCTTCCACTCTGGTCTACACCAGTGTCACCACCTAGCCAATATCCAGAGCACGACCTGCAGCTGGTCCAAAGCAGCACCCTCACTCTCATCCCCCATGTCCAACAGATAAGGGCCCCATTCTTCTCTCCTCAGTCCCCTCCTGCCAGAGCACGGCCTTAGAGGTGTATGTCTTTGCACAAACTGAAGTAAAGACTTCAGTGCTTGTGTTGGGGGAGAGGAGAGGATCAGCTGGCAGCCCCACCCTGCCCTCAGGTGCTTTGAACATCTTCAAGCTGAGGAAGCACTGCGCCCCTATGATCGTCACACCACAGCTGATCCCCAGTATGGTGGAGAGGAGTGTTTCTCTGTTTAAGACCCTGCCTCACTCACAAATATGGTCTAGCACAGACCAAAGGTGCCTCCTACCTGGGGCCTCACTTGGGGGGTGGCTTGGCTGAGGTGGTGGGCCTGGCCTGGGCCCCACAGAGCTGCCATCTGAAGATGGGGCTTCACCCACACTGGGCAGAATCTTGGTCTCAGCCCCAGCCATGGTTCCTCTGCCCTGGGAGAGCTGGGGGACAGCCCCAACAGGGTCAGATTCCCGGTTATGGATAAGCCGTGGTGCCGTCTCTTTCTCCCACGGCCATTTAACTGCCAACGCATTGTCCAGCAGGAGGGCTCTGCAGCTGGAATCAGTATCCATTGTGTAGTCGTGGCCCTGATCGCAGCCCCACACTGCCTGGATGATGCCGCAGTACTCGGATGACAGTGTTCTCTGAAGGTTGGGCAGGGCCCCACAGCTGGCCGCATGTCCGTGCACCCACCCCACTAAGCCATGCAGGCACCGGGGAGTCGAGGTGATCAGATCCACTGAGGAGAGTCAACAAGGAAGTCAGGCTCTGGGCTGGCCAGCTCATAGCCCACCCCCAAAACTCCCACACCAGGGCCAGACTCACCCAGACACACTCCCTCCTCCGCTGCTGTGGGGGGCTGAGCACCGAACCTACAAAGGATCAGAGTGGCTATGAAGAGGAGCCAAAGGCCCATATAGCTCCTTGTCTATGGGCCTCTAGAGATCTCAAGCCTCCCAAACTGTCTCCACTGGGACCCTCTACCAAGAGCCTTGTCTCTTTCCCTGTGAAGGCTGCCTCTAGGCCTTAGGACCTAAAGCAAAGGTTGCCACCCCCACCACCTCCATGCTCATCTACCAGCAGTACAGTGGTCGCTGATGCTGGCTTCTGCAGAGTGGGTACAGCCTGTCCACCCAACCCTGAGGTTCCTACCACAGGACACCCTGGCCCTAGAGCAACACCCAGCACATAGGATGTTGAGTGTCTCCTGAATGATCCAAGCAAGGCCTACTTTGCACAAGACTTCCGCTGGCCTGTTGGTGACACGTTGACCCTCTGCAAGAAGGACCTGAGGAGGCTGTGGCACTGGTAGAACTGGGCATGGCAGCTCTTGCAGACAAACTGGGACAAGGATGGGTCCTGGTGCACAGCCACACCCAGCAGGTGCTGGAAGTCCCTGATGAAGACACGCTCTCCTGGGGAAGGTTTCTCTGAGCTGTCCCCAGATGCCCTGTCAGAGATGCTTCGAAGACTCCGTGAAGAAAACTTCCCGTGGCAGAGGCGACAGTGCCCCATGGCAAGAGCCCGGCCTGTTCCTGGGCAAAGCAGATGTCAACAGTTGGCAAGTGAGCCTGATTACCGAGCACAGGACACTCTGACAAGTTCTGGGGAGGTTTGTGCCTGCACCCTGAGGCCATGTTACCCAGTCCGCCTCCTCACCTGGAGAAGTGCCGCCCTCCCAGGGCCTCCCTGGTCCCCTCAAACTCAGGCCTTGGGGACTGGGTTCACCACAACATTCAGCCTCTGGAGGGCCGCTGGGTCAAAAAACCTTCCCAAGAACTCTAAATGCCTCCACAATGGTGAACTCCATTTCTGCTCACACTATCCTTGTGAGTCCAGAAATGAAAGAGCTGCATCCAGTTGTGCTGTCCACCCTCGGTTTCCTGTCTGCCGACGGTGTATATCACCTCCTCTCCTGCCCCCAGAAAACTAAACATGAACACGCGTGAGGAGGAGTTCGTAAACAGCAAAAGCGTTACACAGGGCGCCGAAGTGCACTGCGCTTGGTGCCCCGTGCGCTGCTTATACACACAGCCCGCGCAGTTCTCCGCACACCTCTGGGGCTGGTTTGAACCCACAAGGAACAGGTCCAGAGAGACCGGGCAGCGATCTCAGGAAACACTCACAAAGGGGGCCGACCCCGGACCTGCTTAGCTTCCACTCGGGCTCTGAGCCCCCAGCGACCTCGGGACGCGCGAAGCCCAGCGTCTGGCCAACGCCGTGGCCAGAGGGGCTCGGCATGGCTCAGAGCGGCCCAGTCGCGCGTGCCGGGGCGCCGGCCGGACCCACCTGCTTCGTCCGCACAGTCCTCGATGGGATCCCCGCAGGCCCTCGCCGAGCTCCAGCCGAGCCGCGCCGCCGCCGCCAAGGTCTCCGCGCCGTCGCCACGG